TGGGAGTGGAGTCAAGAGAGGAATCAGCAAGGAGTCATTATGTTGCCACAAGCATTCCAAGTCCAGTCCCTACCTTGAATTCTGTTAATCTTATCTAGCAAAAATTTGATGTTGTTAGTTAACTAGATTCTTGTGTATAAATGAGCAATAAATCAACTTAAGTGGAACATAATGTGTGGTCCTGATTCTTTACGCCTGACATTTTAAGGGCTTTCTGGAATTCTAGGACAGAAGATTGCTATCTATATCTATAGTGGGATGCTGTTCCAGAAGATGGGAGTTGTGACAGAGAAGATATATTTCCTTGGTCCTGGAACATGACAACATTTAATGCAGGGGACCTGGAGTGAACCCGCTCTGCTGGAAAATACTGGGTAAGCAGAAATATTGGAGGTAAGAGATAACTCATATAGTCAGGCCCTATACCATACAAAGATAGTTGGGTAATAATCATCACCTTGAATTGCATTCAGAAGCTGATTAGCAAACAATGCAGGAGCAATGGTGACATATAGGCATGCCTCATGAAAGCTGATACCTTTTAATGAACTGTGGTTAATCTAAAATAATGTCACCAGACTCCATTTAAGTCTCCATCAAGAGACCAATGTACTTTCTGACCACTCTAGGATTAGATAACCTACACTGTGTCTTAGTCAGTCTAATTTTGTTCTGTTAATATGTCTAGTGAATTCTCCATTTGGAAGGAAGGGGGCTATTTAGGACAGGAAATCTAGCGCTTTTCTTAATGCAGACTGTGTCCTGTTTCAGGTTTCGGACTCACACATACTCAATTGCTAGGTGAAAATAGCAATTTATCCAAGCCTGAATAAATAACAACAGACAAGGAAAAGGAATGTAACCCAAAACAAAGTCTCTAGAAAATAAAGCTTGCCTGAATAACTTCACTTAACACACATTTTTGAGCCAAATTTCATTGTAAAATCTTGAGAGCTCTAGAAACTGCAAAATGGTGGCGCCGAGTTATTTCTCCCATGAATTATTCGCCCTGCCCTAGCAGAAGTAGGGTGTCTTCACACCAATCTTTTTAGTAACATCACTTTACTCTCATATAAATGCCAGCAGACTCCTTCACTTCTGTAATATTCACACATCTACTCAATGAAGGATTAAATTATTAACAATGTCAGAGCAACAGTTAAAAAAAAAAAATGACGGCCCTGCCTTATCTGCAAGGTTTGTGGTAGCTTACACAACAGATAAAAGCAACATCATAAACTTTCAGGAACTGATAAAAAAAGACCAATAAAGCATTCATAATAGGACAGAATATCCAGTACCAATATCAAGAGTAATAAATCACTCTGAATATGTTTAGCATTTTTATTAGAACTGCTGTTCCTCTGTACTTTGTGGTTAGGCAGAAAAGACAGAAGGATCATCGTCCCACAGAATGGGGCAATTCACCACGGCCAACTCGCCGCGGGACAATTAAAAAAATAATACATAACGGTAATCTATTATTTACATTTCCTCCCTTATTCTTCTTTAGAATATTTGTCCTTATTGCCCTGTTATTTCTTATTTACATTTTTCTTCCTTCATGTTCTACTTCTTACTAAGAATAATTCATATTATTATTATTATACATTATTATACACATATTTTCAATTTTGACCTTTCCATATTTATTCTCCTCTATTATTTCTAGTCTCCAACCAGTCATACCACTTGTTCCATGTTATATAGTACTCTGTGTCTTCCTTTTCTTTTATCTCTTTTGTTAATTCGTCCATCTCAGCATAGTCCAGGATTTTTCTTATCACTTCTTCCTCTGATGGTATATTCTCATTTTTCCAGCACTATGCATATGCTATTCTTGCCGCCGTTATTATATGTAAAATTAAGTAACATATTTCTTTACTATATTTTCTGTTTAAAATACCCAACAAAAAGATCTCTGGTTTGTTTTGTTTTGTTTTGTTGGTTAAAAATAAAATAAAATAAAAAAATGAAAAAAATAATAATACAAAAGTCAAATTAATTTTGATGGAACCATGGCCAATAATAATAAAATAAAGTCAATCCAAAAATACACACTGTAAATGTAGTCACCAATAACAAACATAACTGAATGAAATGATTGAATTATCCCATGGTGATTTGCTCTATGGTACGTTTGTCCTAAATAGCGAGTTGTCCTGGACTGAGTTCTCCTAAGCTCCTATCCCCATGTTCTTTGGATTGAGTAGATAATTATGTGACAGTGGCGAAAATGCTATGCAATTATTCCTGCCCAATTTTGGGGGTCTAAGGAGAAATTATTTCTCTGTTGCCCAATCTTGTCAGCAGCAAAGAGTTAAAATTTTATGAGCGGTGTAAATCAGCCTCTTTGCAGATTATAAGCAGTTTGTGTAAAGCAGTGTTTCTCAACCTTGACAATTTTAAGGCATGTGGACTTCAACTCCCAGAATTCCACAGCCAGCATTGCTGGCTGTGGAATTCTGGGAGTTGAAGTCCACATGCCTTAAAATTGTCAAGGTTGAGAAACACTGGTGTAAAGGTTTGCACAGGACAAATTGGTCATCCGTCTCTATAACAATTGGTTTTGACAACCCACTACTGATACCCAAGCACGGACTGTGCACTAAAAAGCTGAACATGCATGTGGACATTTTTGACAGACGTGGTTTGGAATGCCGATACTTTCAGTTTCTCCAGATCCCCTTTTCTTTCACATGTTCATTTGCTTCTCCTCTCTTGTATTTATATAAAGAATTCTTCAAAGGGCTTAAAGGATTAAAAAAAGGAACTTTACCTGGATATTCTTTTCCAAGCGAACATGTATTGGAGAGAATACTCTCTGCCAAAGCCTTCACGCGCTGTCTTGTGTCAGACATTACATGATCCAAAATGTCAGTTGTGTGAGATTATATATCCTTCTGATCATGGGTTGCTCAACATGCATATTGAGCAGACTTCAAGGGACTGCACCTCATTGGTAGGTTTCTTTTTTTAAACCTAGTTTCCCAGCGACTTCCAATGATTGCTGCATCGTATGTTGATCCAAGAATTTTCTCAAGGGGGGAGAAGAACTCCAAAAGAAAGTGAAAAGCCTCTTAACAGTTAAGAGGCACCCTTTAGAATATTTTAGCACCCTTTAGAGTATTTTTCCATTTCTACGATGATGTATGATGTATTAATGGCACTGTTGTCATCTGGAAAAGTTGAACTTTCCAAGACAAGTATCAAAGTGAGTAATATGTAAGCCACATCCAGCCCCTCTCTTTTTAAAAGCATCTATTAGAATTCAGATGGCAGAATAAATAAGACTTTGGTTTATATTAGCAGGGTTCTTTTGATTTCTAACAGAATAACAGAGTTGGAAGGGATCTTGGAGGTCTTCTAGTCCAACCCCCTGCTCTACCATTTCAGACAAAGGACTGTCCAATATTTTCTTAGAAAATCTCTAGTGATGAAGCACCCACAGCTTCTGAAGACAAGCTTTTCCATTGGTGAATTGTTCTCCTTACTGTTCATTCCTCCTTACTGTGGTTCTAGGTTGCTTCTCTCCTTGACCATTTTCCATGCATTGCTTCTTGTCTTGCCTTCTGGTGCTTTGGAAAAGAGGTTGCGTCAAAAAAAAAAAAAAAATCTATGTGAATTGCTCTCAGCCTGGGTACCTGAAGCAGAAATGTGTTCCTAAAATAATATGGAGTAGATATTGATGAGTGACTTTTTGAATAAGAATTCTGAAACGTTTGCCATAGGAATATTTATTCATCTATTGCAAATGTCTGTTCACCAATCACAGACATTTTTGGCAACTTTTGAATAGGGTGGGTAATGGAGAACTTAAGATGACACATTGGAAATAATAATAATAGTAGTAGTAAAGTTGGAAGGGACCTTGGAGGTTATCTAGTCCAACCCCCTGCTCAGGCAGGAAACCCTACACCATTTCGGACAAATGGCTGTCCAGTCTCTTCTTAAAAACTTCCAGTGTTGGAGCATTTACTGCTTCTGGAGGCAAGCTGTTCCACTGATTAATTGTTCTCACTGTCAGGAAGTTTCTCCTTAGTTCTAGGTTGCTTCTCTCCTTGATTAGTTTCCACCCAGTTGCTTCTTGTCCTGCCTTCAGGTGCTTTGGAAAATAGCTTGATTCCCTCTTCTTTATGGCAGCCCCTGAGATATTGGAATACTGCTATCATGTCCCCCCTTGTCCTTCTCTTCGTTAAACTAGACATACCCAATTCTAGCAACCGTTCCTTATATATAAGCACCACTTATAGAAGGTTTGGGCATTTCGGTGGTGACATTGGCCAGCCCTTCTAATCTGGAGGGAACTGCTTCTGTTCTTTAATTATTAACCTCTGCATCAAATGTTGGGGCTTCTCTTCTCTTACTATCAATTCTCATTGGCAAAAAAATTCCACAGGATAGAAACCTCTCCCATTGTCTGCTTCTAGGTATATTCAGTGGAAACTGACAAAATCTGAACATAGGCTTATAGTGTAGAAAACCATAGTGTTGCACTATGTTCTTATCTCTTTTGATAGCCTTAATTCCCCTATTAGGCTAGATGAGGATAATTCTGTCAAAACTGACCGTGATTGCTACATGATAAGTCTTGGATACTACCGATCCCAGAACATTTATTCTAACAGAGGCAATCCCACTCTAATAGAATCATGATCTAAACTAACTTCTGATATTTATTGTGTGTGTGTGCATGCATGCGCTCTCTACTTGCTCAGTGTGAAACCTAGCCAGGTGCATTCTCTAATATTTAGTGTACATCCAGAATAGATGAAGCAATAGGTACCATTATCCCTCTCCTGCACGCTTCTGAGAATTTCTGTGTAAATATTTGATCCTTTAACTCTCGCAGATAACACCACAAAGGAATCGGACTGTAGTTTATTGCAATATAATTCTTCCCCATTTTCTGTTACCCATTGAGAAAGGGTTTATTTCTACATCACCATTTGTTATTGGCTTAAAGCTAGAGAAAAGCCATAGAATCTCAAGCTCGGGACTGTAATAATCTATATTTGATGGGATTTCTCCAGTCTTCATCCCCTATGGAGGGTTAATAGTGTACACAGGCTGACTGTATTTAAACACAACGTGCAACAAATTTTAGCATATTTAGCTCTCATTTCACTTATTTACTCCATCCAGGAGGTTTGTAATCATGTGAAATTGCCTGGAAAAAAAAATATTAGGTAATTAGTTAGGGTATTTGTAATATTGAAGAAAAAAAATGCATACAGCAGTGGCCTGAGGCATTTACTTGACATTATCTAGAGCAGTGGTTCTCAACCTTTCTAATGCCGTGATCCCATAATACAGTTCCCCGTGTTGTGGTGACCCCCAGGGGTGTGGCCAAGTGGGTGTGGCCACCAATAAGAGGGAGTAGGAAAGCTAGGGAAAAGGGAAAAAAATGGCGGACAGCGTGGTTTGGCGACCCCCGTGAAATGGTCGTTCGACCCCAAATGGGGTCCCGACCCACAGGTTGAGAACCACTGATCTAGAGATAAAAGTAACACAGTTTGTTCCCCTTTTCTTTGTAGGGGAAAAAAATGAATAGAACAGAAAGAAAAGGAATGGGCAATAGCAATAGCACTTAGACTTATATACTGCTTCATAGTGCTTTACAGCCTTCTTTAAGCAGTTTGCAGAGTCTGCCTATTGGCCCCAACAACCTGGGTCTTTATTTTACTAACCTCGGAAGGATGGAAGGCTGAATTAATCTTATGCCGGTGAGAATCGAACTCCTGTAGTGAGCAGTGAGTTAGCCTGCAGTACTGCATACTAACCTCCTAAATATCTTTTTAAAAAAGTTTTTATACCAGGGTGAAAAAACACACCTTTTCACAGAATCGCTTATAACTACTCAATTACCCATCCATCTACTATAGCTTACTACACTGCTTGGCTGTTTTGGAATAATAAAAAATATACTGTAACAATAATAAGACATCCACCTAGAACTGTCTACCTTTTCAGATTTTCAGATTTCTCAGACACTACTCTAGGTTGGTTAGGACTTGAACTATTAGACTCCCACCTGTCTTAGACTGTGAATTAATTGTAGATTTCTACCACTATATTATTACTACTGAGATCAAACAAGAAAAATATTTAAGGGGCTGCCACAAAGAAGACAGGGTCAATCTATTCTCCAAAGCACCTGAGGACAGAACAAAAAGCAATGGATGGAAACTAATTAAGGAGAGACCCAACCTAGAACTAAGAAATTTACTGATAGTGAGAACAATTAATCAGAACAATTAAACTTGCCTCCAAAGGTCTACACAGGATTGAAGGTTTTCATGGAAAGGATGAGAGCAGCATTGTGTATCATGATGGAAGCTCTACCCCTTTTCCACATGGTACTATGTCACATTGCATGTCCCAAAGAGACTTTGTGTGTGTGTGTGTGTGTGTGTGTGTGTGTGTGTGTGTGTGTGACATTTGCTCCCCTCTTTCCTACCTACAAAACTCTTGGATTGGCTCAAACAACAAAATTGTGAGTTTCAGAGGTAGGGGCATTTTCCCCTCCTTTGAAGATCTTGGATGGCTTCTGTTTGAATCCAAGATTAATTGTGGAAAAATGGAGTTCACCCGTACTGAATACCAAGACAGAATCAAAAATTAGTACTTGTATTTTCTCCAATGGGGTTAACTCCAGGTTGCAAGAGAGGAGAGTTTTGATCAGGAAAGCAGTGCCAAGGAACAAATGAAATGCTTCATTGACTAGATGTTGCTTGCGCCAATCGCATGCAGAGTTTTCAAAGCTTGCTTTTAAAAGGTTTAAGAGAAAATCAAGCTAGATCAGGAAAATTGATCCTGGATTACTTGCATTTGGCTTGCTTCATTCCTCAGTCTCTCTTTCCCCATTCCCCATTTCTCTGTTTTATACTTCTTTGCTCCTCTAGCCAACCTAGCTGTAAAACATAGCCGGGATTACAAAAAGCTAACATATTCTTACTTTCCCACACTTATTTAACTGTCTCCCTAATTAATTCCATGGCTTGAAATAAATTATTGACTTAGCAGACTCTCTTGTTTTCTGTGACAGCTTCAGTTGTAAACAGGCTATTAACAATTCATAATGAGTACAGAATGTTGGTTTTCTCTGCTTGTTCATTCAGTTCCCGTGTACAGACACCACAGTTGGTAAAGAAAACATGATACCAGCTCACCTCCTTGCTCTGACGGTTTTTTTGAATCAAGCCAGAGAACGAAGGCTAGGTCTTGAATGGTATCCTCGTTGGCAATCTAGATGTAATCATTAATAAAAAAAAGGCAGCTAAACAGTTGGTGTTATGAATAATTGTATTCTATTAGCACTGGGTCATCTTTAAGGGATTCCAGTTCCTTGCTCTTGCCCTAAAGCAGTGCTTTGCCAACTTGGGAATTTTAAGATATGTGGACTTTGACTTCCAGAAATCACCAGCCTGAGTGCTGGCTGATGAATTCTGGGAATTGATGCTCATGCATCTTAAAAGTTGCCAACTTGGATGACACTGCCCTAAAGAATGCAATTTCTTTTGTGTCAGACAGAACCTGCTCTTCAAACCAGGCCCAGAATACATGTTTATCTTCTTCAAAAGATTAAAACTTAGCCTGGTAATGGGAAGGTATGCCAGAGCAGTGTGGTGGCCTAGAGGTGAAGATGCTCACCTCCCATTCAGAAGGTTGAGAGTTCAATCCTAGGCAGTGATAGATGTTTCTCTATCAGGGCGCAAAGAGAAAATAACTGCTGTAAACTCTGTGTAGATGTCAGGAAGGGCATCCAGCCACCTCTATTCAGTTACCCCAGCTCCATCCCAATCAAATCAAAGGATTGCAGGGTATAAAAAGAGAAGAAAATGGGAAAGTGTGCTGGCTGTAAAATTAACAGTTAAAACATGGGGGGGGGGGGGGAAACAAGATTTCCAGCTATTTAATCTGAGGAAGTATGAGTTCCATCAGGACACAAAGTTTAGATTTTAAGGGCACCAGCTGTCAGCGCAGTCAAGAGCAACAGCTTCATGGTGTTAGATAAACCATGTGGTCTGTCATGGAAATTGATTGGAAAATTACCTGAAATACTAGTTACACTCTATTCCTGACAAAATGATTCATAATAATTCAGGGAAGCTATTTTTTTTATTACCGTTAGAGGCCTACCTGGCTAAGTCAGAAGGAAAAAGGGAGAAATTTCCTACAGAATGTATCTCCTATGCTGTAGTAGGAAATCCTGAATCTCCTTGAATTTTTGCTAAAAAGAAATGGGGTTATACAGAGGAATGTTTGGGAAGAGGAATGATAGATGCCAGTACTGGAAAAAGCAAGCAAAGCTTTACATAACATCTTGTTGTTGTTAGTTGTGAAGTCGTGTCCGACCCATCGCGACCCCATGGACAACGTTCCTCCAGGTCTTCCTGTCCTCTACCATCTTCTGGAGTCCATTTAAGCTCACACCTACTGCTTCAGTGACTCCATCCAGCCACCTCATTCTCTGTCGTCCCTTCTTCTCTTGCCCTCAATCTTTCCCAGCATTAGGCTCCAGTGAGTCTTTCCTTCTCATTAGGTGGCCAAAGTACTTGAGTTTCAACTTCAGGATCTGGCCTTCTAAAGAGCAGTCAGGGTTGATCCCCTCTAGGACTGACTGGTTTGATCATCTTGCAGTCCAGGAGACTCGCAGGAGTCTTCTCCAGCACCATAGTTCAAAGGCTTCAATTCTTTGGAGCTCAGCCTTTCTTATGGTCCAGCTTTCACATAACATCTAGTTAATCTTTAAAAGTTGACAGCAAGAACAATGACAACAAAGAGCAGAAAGCTTTTGTTCCACTACAATCTCTTTTGCAAAGGGTGGAGAGAAGCATCCCAAGTCAGGATACAAAGTGGCCTGGCATGCTATTAAAATTGGTATTGTGTATTGCAGATGATGGGAATGTAGTTTTTAAATGAAAATCTTTCCCCTTCATGACATGGGAGAACTCTTATACCTCAAACTGATTCAACCTAAACTTAATATGGCAGATGAAAAGCAATGAAAAGAAATCTTTGGTCTGTGGGACAGCTGTAGGGATGACCCCAACATGGTATCATTCTTGGTAATCTGGGAAATAACCCAAAAGTTCCAAACCATCTATTACTATACTAAATTGGAGAGTTATGTTGTGCCATCAGCTGCTGGGGCCACCACCAGCTCATCCTAGGAAAGCTCATCTAGGCACTGGAGGCAGCAATTTTTGCCAGCTAGTGTATCATGAAAAATCACAATATAATTATCACAGTGGGGACGACTGTGACACTCAGCCTTGCATATCTTATGCATTCTGTTCTCGCCGAGCTTCAACAAATCAGTGAAAAAAACAAAGCTACAGTGAGGGAAGAAAGGCAAGAGACTAAAACTGAAACTTTGAATACAAATACAATTATATCTCATTGGGCAAAATCCATACCTAGCTGCCAGCAATACCCCCCTGACTTACTCTCTGAAATTGCAAAATGAGAGAATATAAATCAGAGTTGACAACGAGGTCTTATTTCCCTCTTTAGAGGCAATAACCAAATAATAAATCATACAGTTGCAGCATATAGAAGACTTCTTAGAATTCCTTTGCGTTCTCTTTATATTAGGGGCTACAAATGGTAATCCCTCCCAAGGAAAACATGCTGATTGCCAGTTGCTTCCTATACCGTTCTAGCCGCTGAGCATTTGTGAATTGGATACATGCCTTCATGCACTCCTACAAAAAAGCCAGCTCTGAAGCTATATTTTTGCTGAAAGAACCAGACAACCTAATAGAATGAGGGGAGGGACTGCAATTCAGTGGTGCATCTGAGGTTAATCATAAAGTTCCTTTCAGGGTTTAAGTTGGAATGGCAGGAAGAGGTCTAGAAGAAAGCAATGAAATCTGCTCATTGTCCCATGCAAAATAAATAAATAAAAAAGACAGTTTCACTTCTACAAAGGTCAGTCTATAGCCAGATTCTTTCTACCAAGAAACCAAGCCTTCCATGCAAAACAATGTCGAAAACTCCTCCAGGGTTGAAGCAATTATTTTGCAACTCCTCCAACATCTGGAAATTCAGCCACCAATTTGATGGTGAAGGCTTTCATGGAGAGTATCTGTTGGGCTCCAGGGCTTAATGGCCATGGTCTTCACAGCAGATATACGGACTTTTCACCAGCAACTGTGACAGGGACTGACTTGGCTCTTGCCTTTAAAGGCAAGTGAGTGCAAACTGACTAGAACTATCCTCACAGTTTGTTTATTTATTTATTAAAATTTATAGACTGCCTCACTCCCACAGGACTTCGGGCGATTAACAATAAAAACACAACATAACATAACAAAACAAACAATACAATAACATTCATCCAGGGGTCAGATTTTATAAACCCCAGGCCTGCCGGAAAAGCCAGGTCTTAAGCAGTTTGAGGAAAACCAACAGGGTGGGAACGGTCCTAATCTCCGGGGGGGACCTGATTCCAAGACGTGGGCACCATCACAGAGAAATCCCTCCCCCGTGGCCCCGCCAAATGGCACTGCTTGGCCGACGGGACCTGAAGGAGGCCCAGCCTGTGGGATCTAACCGGACGAAGGGAACTATGAGCCAGGCTATTTAACAGGGAATGTTGCATGTGCTACAGATGGAGCTAAGGCTGGTAACCCACTTTCTCTAATCTAAAAACCTTATGCAATTGCCTCAATTGACCAAAGCCCTGAAACACATTGGAAGTCATTTATGGGCCCATCTGATCATAACTCAAATATAGCACGTTGTGTCATGGAATTTAGCAGGGTGAAATGGTGAAAAGTGCGTATTGATGAATGAACTGAAAGAGGTGAGAATAAAGTAGATATGTTTCAGTGAAAGAGAAAGGGGAAATAGATCTAAGTTAAAGTGCTCCTTTCATGGAACAAAAAAACTGAAATTTATGCCACAAAGGATGAATAGATTCATCTGGATGTCCCAGAGGCATATTGTAGGTTCATGGTAGTTATTTAATAGATGTCCTGCCTTTATTGTATAATTTCAAGGTGTTGTACCTAATGATCCCTCCTTCTATTTTCCCCAGGACAACAACTCTTAGAGGTGGGTTGGGTTGAGGGAGTAACCCGCCAGGGGCCACTCAAGGCACTCTGTGTCTTTTGTTGAAGTTTTTAAACCTGGCTAGGGGCAATTTGGGTCAATACATTAGGCCTAGTGGTTGTTCAATAGTGCTTTGGTTCACAGGGTTAAAATTAACCCCTTTATCTATGTCCCAATGGTGCTTTTTCAGGAGGCAACTGGACTTTCTTGTTTTTCTTTGAAGATGTTTTGCTTCTTATTGAAGAAGCTTCTTCAGCTCTGACTGGATGGTGGGGAATGGAAGGATTTATATTCCTTGCAGACAGCTGGTCTTTTACATTCTTTTAGAGCAGGGGTGTTAAACTGCTGGCCTGCGGGCCGGTTTCATCATACTGGAGCCGTGTCCACCCCATTGCTGGCAATGGCGAAAACGCTCCGATACGTTGCGCGACGTCATGTGACATCGCGAGTTTGACATGTCTGTTTTAGAGAGTCATTCAGACAACCCTGATCTAGATGACCGAGAATCTCCATAAACTTTCCTCTTTCTCTGGTGTTAAATAGGTTTTGATGTGTACACATCTTGCTAACTCCCCTTGACTTGGTGTTATGAGAACGCAGCCAGAACATTTTCAAAGACAACCCAATTAAAGACAATTAGTACTATTGTATCCTGAAATTTCATATGAAATTAATAGGCAAGTAAATGAGGCTTTTAGCAAGAAATCAGTTAATTTGAACCTGCAAGTGTGGACCAGGTTTTTTGTGCCTGACATTAATCATCTCAACTAACAATTAGCATCTGGTTAGAGATAGATCAGGGTCAATGGCATTCAAGGAAGGTTGGACTTAATTCACTTGTGGCTACTTAACAACTCTTAAGTATTGTCTCATTTGACTCCTTCCCCTAGCTCTTCTAGTCTCTGTCCTACAAAAATCTCCCTCACAAATCCATCCCAGCATTATTAGTCAAAAGGGACCTTGGTCTAATGAAGAATTAGCTTGCCTAAGCACTCTGTCAACATCTATAAGGTTAACAGACATAAACTGGTTTAATAAAATTGGACATAAAGAAGCACTGCCCTTTTCTCTACATCTGCACTTTCTTCAATCTCCCTGTAAATATGAATGAGTTTATCTGAGAAAACAACAATAATAACACCTTCACGGTTTGCTGTTGAGACACATGGAGGCCTTCCAATTTTTCCAGTCCCAATCAACTGGAAAAGCTCCCTTGGGCTAGTTTCTGTGGACAACGTAGAGATCAAACAGCTTTTCTCTTCCCTTAGGGCCACAGTATCACACTCAAGGTGCTCCAAGCTATGCTTGATCATATTCATTTTCAGATTTCTACCATCTGGTCTCCAGATGTTTCCCTGCCCACCTCATAGCTATAGCTCCTCATTAAACCAAGACATTGTACAAACTCAGCAGGCAGTTAGAACATTCTTAGAAGCCAATCACTTGATCATTCCAATTCATTACTAAGCCCTTAGTCAAAAGGTGTCCATAAGCAAATTCTGGAATCCTAAGCAATCCAGAAGACAAAGCTACATTTCATAGGCTCCTTCATTGCCATAGAACAGAACTGAAAATTGTGATCTTGGGTTACTACCCATCCCTTGCAACTCTTGAGACCAATTAAATAGGTAAGTAAAACCCAGCCAGATCCCAGCCTCCCCCAATTTTTCTCACTGCTGCCCTAAGCTAAGGTTTTCTACTTTGAAGCAGGATAAAAACAAAGGAAACCAGAGGAGCGATCGGAAGAGAAAATATATAAACAAATCAATTGTACTTCAATGCAAGAGGTCCAAATCTCTGGTTCAAATCCCAAAAGTGCTTTTCCAAAAGGCAACTGGACTTTTTTTTTTCTTTGAAAAAAACCATCTGTTTCACTTCTCATCCAAGAAGCTTCTTCCCTTCTACCAACCCTCAAGAGTGCTAACGATCAGATGACTGCAAAGAATATAAATCCTTTCACTCCCTGTTTAGAAACGTTCTCAAAGAAAATCCAATATCCAGTTTGGATCGGTCAAGAGGAGCAGAAGTTTCATCTTCTCAGCTTTCAGACTCCAACTGGAGCTCCTCTTCAGGGAACTTCTCTTGAGAAGTTCTCTCTTCTCTCTCTAGTGGCACACTTTGCTAGAGAGAATTTCCCCTCCAGCACAAATCTGAAAGCTTGGAAGACTAAACCTCTGATCCCGTTGAGCAACCCAGACTGGATCCTGCAACGCAATCCTGGAACACATACGTATCTGCCTTCATTCGCAAGAAAATCGAGTTGCCTTTTGGAAAAGCGCTTTTGGGACAACCATGATGTGGATGATGGAGAATCTCCACAGACGCTCTGGTTCAAATGTGTGTCTGGGAAAATTCTTTTACAAAAGAACTTAAGCCACTCAGCTCCAAAGTGTAAATCAGCTAACACTACTTTGCTGCATGATCTGCAACCTGCAATGTAATAAGCCCTAGTAATTATGGCATATTTGGAACCAAAGGTGCAGGAAATCATGTCAATACATAAAAAGACTAAGAAATGATTGAGATCCTGATGCAGTTGAACTTGCTTATTCTGCCTAATGCAGAAGAATTTTCTCCACACCTCTTGCCCTCCTGCTAACTCATTTTCATGTTCCGTTCAAGAGCATTTCCCTGAAATAATCACCTCCTTTGCCTGGGATGGATAGGAGGGGGGAAAATATTTTCTGTTCTAAGCAATTGAATAAATGTGATCGGGAATAAAACATTGAAGATATTTTGGGTACTGCCTTATTTTTGCCATTCTTCTTAAGTCCGCTTCTTGGCTTTTGCTTCTTTTGTGTAGCATCTGTTCCGAATTGATATGCTTTCTCTCAGCAAGGCAAAGGCACCCCTTTGCTTTCACTGCTTGAAGCAAAGACTCTAACTTGGCAGCTTTTGCTCTCTCTGCCTGCCCCCTCCCAAAAGAAATCTGAAATACATGCAGAATTTAAATGCCCACCTAGCAAATGGATGACCCCAAGGGAATGATGTATGAAGTCTCACCTAAGAGAGTCAGAATGTGCAGATCAAAGTCATTTAATCACTGGCTAAGTCCTGTTGTCTATCTTCTTTTCCCTGGTGGTGATTTCTAGAGAGAAAAAAAATGAAGGATTTTCTTATGAGGCAGACTAAAATGCCTGAGTGAGGGGTAAGAAGTAAATTGGGCTAGATTGCCAAATTCTAAACGAGATGGAAACTAATCAAAGAGAGAAGCAACCTGGAATTAAGGAGAAACTTCCTAACAGTGAGAACAATTAACCAATGGAATGGCTTGCTTTCAGCAGTTGTGAGTGTTTCATACTGGAGGTTTTTAAGAAGAGACTGGACAGCCAATTGTCTGAAATAGTATAGGCCAGTGGTGGCAAACCTATGGCACTCTGAGGCGGCACTCAGAGCCCTCTCTTTGGGCATGCGCGCCATGCCCTGGAGATGTCAACTGTCCCTCTTCAACCAGCCGCCTGCTAACTCACCGAGGTCCCACATGGCCGGATGCATTCAGCATGGCTGGTTTCCTTCCCCCATTGCATTCCTCCTGGCCTTGCATGCTCTCCTTTTCCCGGGCACGACCCATTGCATTGCCTCCTCAGCTGTCGGCTGGCTGTCCAGCTCAGAGGTGGCTTCTCTGAACTGCTGCTCCCTGGCCCCTGCTTTGCCTTGCCCTGTGACAATGGCACCTTGCCTCACAGGAAGAGCCTCCTGCCCACTGCCTCACCTGTCAGAGACCCCCTGGATCTCCCCCAACCCTGCCCGGCCCCCACAGGCATCCTTCCGCATGAGCAACATTGAGGTGACCACACCCACCTTGGCCACACCCACCCAGTCTGCCATGACTATCACAGCCATGCCCATCCAGTGGGCCATGCCCACCTGGCACCTGGTGATAAATAAATGGGTTTTGGGTTGCAGTTTGGGCACTCGGTCTCTAAAAGATTCGCCATCACTGGTATAGGCTCTCCTGCTTGAGCAGGAGGTTGGACTAGAAGACCTCCAAGATAACTTCCAACCCTATTCTTGATTGATTGATTGATCCACAGTGTCAAAGCTGTTCACATCCCTTGGATCTATCCTATACTGAGACGGGGATTAATTATCCCAATCCACTGACTCTACTTTATGTAGGATGATCTCAGTTATGGGGGAAGATAAAGATTATAGCTCCTAAGAGATGAATACTTCAGATTTCTAGATCTGGGTTGCCCAGTGTTTTGCCCATTTGTCTTGCATTGGGAAAAACAAGAGGGAAGGGATGAAAAGGGAAGCTTGTGTTTTATCATCCTAAGTGCCTGACATGTTTCCTCCCCTTCTCCCCCCAAAAAAATGATTTCTCTGTTCAAATGATCCTGTACGGTTGTTTTCTAGCTTGTTAGAAATTCTTCTATTGATTAAACCCTAAAACAAACAAATAAGCCATGACATTTCACTGCTGAAGAGTAAAAGGAATGGATTATCAAGACAGGGGAGAAACACAATTGGTTCACATTTTAATGTCAACTTATTTTGTTCTCAGTGTATGAGCTCATCTACAAATCACACCGCTAACCTTTGATTGTCATTCTTTTTCAAATTTTGCAATGCCGCTTAGCAAAAAAACAAAACAAAACGGTGCAGCAAATTACATGTGTTCCAGAAATGCACACCAAGACACATTGGGGACATTGCTGTGAAAAATATGTCTGTATCCACCTACAACAAGTATGAATTTTCATGCAATCTTTTTAACATTTGCAATCTGAACTGAAAATGGGACAGACTGAACTGGGAAACATAAGGAACTGAATGAAATGTGACTATTTTTTTTTCTGTCTTCATACGCCTTCTAAAATTATTTAGAAGGCGCACGAAGATCCACAAGATACTCAATCCTGAACTGGGATTCCTGAGAGCTGATTCAATCTGGTCTTGGTACCTGTGCAGTTGTGGTAGAAGTGAGCATGGAACAGACAATGCACAGTTCCAGAAACCAGAGCAGTTACATCACTGAACTTAAGAAGCGTGTTATAATGGATGTTCTGCCCAGTGGTGGGATTCAAATATGTGAACAACCAGTTCTCTGTGTGGATGCCACTTCCAGAAGTCCATTCTGGGCCCAGGCAATAAAAAATTAGCTACTGATTCTGCCAAAGTGATGCGAACCGGCTGAATCTCACCACTGGTTCTACCACTGCTAAACATTTTTAAAAACTTCTACTACAATCCCACAGGTACCAAGGCTACGTTGAATCAGACTAAGTCCCCAGGAATCCCAGTTCAGTACTAATCTGGTGCTCAGCAGTCCACTCTTTGCTAGGTAGTTTAAATATCCCTGTTGAGGACAGACACTCTGGCAATCAGCAGACTATTTGGACCCAACATGCCTTCTACATTTCTTGCTCCACAGTTGTCTTTTGTTTAATTAGAGCTGGAGTGTTTGCCTCCTTTTCAGAATGGCAGCATTTCTCTTCTTGTACTTCTCGTCCCCCTCCTTGCTAATCAAACCACCTTGATTGCATTCCCATCAGCGTAATCACCGGCTTCCCTTTGAAAAGTCTGCTCCTGGAAGAGCAAGTTACTGGGTCACTGAACTCCTACGTGGAGGTTCACCTCCGAATGCCATTGAGAGAGGAGCTGATTCTCAATTCAAACCGCTGGCTGCTCAGATCTCTGCTGGAGACCCGTTCGAGCATTACCAAAAAAGAAAGCAGTAGTTGGTTCTTGTTCGCGCTGGAGAGATTTTTGCATTCACTTTTAATCATGCTCAGAGAAGAGCACTAAAAAGAAGAAGAAAGGAAAACCGTTCAAAGCTTCTGCAATCTTGGATCTATTTTGGTGGTGGGGGAACAAGAGTGACAGCATATATTAATTCAGGAATCAAACTGCACCATCGCTTACAGTTCACCCCTTATTTCAGAAGTTGCGGCACTTTGGGGAGATGGGGGTGGGTGGGTGGGAAATGCCAGTAAATTATGCAGGTCACGGCGGTTAGAATCCCAGTATCCACAGTAAGAAGGTGAAAATTAATGTAAAAATCAACCCAAAATCAATCTCTCTCTTGGCTCATTTTAAAAGAATGCTGGGATGAAATCCACCTTTGTAGTTTTGCAAAAACACTTTTTTTCCCCATTAAGAAAGAAGCTTCTCTTTTTCTCAATGATTCCCAGGGTACTTGAGAATTTCATTTGGATTGTTCTTATGGATGCTTTTGAACTGGTGTTATTTTGAACTGGAGGCAGCAGGAAGTATTGTGGCTGGTATTATGTCACTCAACTTTTCACAAATCTGTAGTATTATATTTCTCCACTCTGGTTAATCATCTGGGGGGGGGGATTGCTCCTTATAATTTGCTCAGGCATTTGATCAGAGTATAAGAAATCCAGGGAAATTGAAAAAAAAAACTGTCCACTTTCTACTTACAATAATTTCACCAATGTCTTCTTCTCCTCTGAATGAAATGTCATGATCAAATCTATTTTCCTCAAATGGTGACTACCTGGATTAGTCCTTCCAGTTTTCTTAGCAAGATTTTAGAAGTGGTTTGTGCTGGTTTCCTTCCTGGAGCTCAGACATGCTGACTGGCCCAAGGTCACCCAGAAGACTTTGTGCTTAAGGTGAGGCTAGAACTCATAGTCTCTCTATTCTAGCCTTCACCAAAATGTTTCATCTCCCTGTCAGGATAATGATTTAAAGGCTAAACAGCTTATGTAATGATGTAATGTATTGTAAGGTGGGTGATGCAAGAATGGGAATGACTCAGCAGGCTCTGTGTCTGTGCCTTTAAGTGTCTGAGTATGAAAGGGAAGGCCTGCTGGAGTCTTTCTCTCTCATTCGTTTGACTGCTGTAATTGCTGTATATTGGAGTTTGCTGTTTCACCACGTGTATGTTTCTTATTTCTAGTGTATATTTGTAGATTTAGTGTAATATAAACCATCATTAAATTACAAACCACTGTGTACTGCATTTACTCCTGGATTACCTCAGCGCAATAAGATTGCATGCTCTGACACTCGCTAATTTTTAGGATAGTCAGTAGAAACAATATTCCAGGCCTGCATGTAGGATATAAGAGTAACTTCCCAGACTGATAAAGATTCAGGAAACAATCATGTAAAGACCCAGTGACAAGCTTCTCCATAATCCACAAAGAAATCACCTCCTTGCTGAAACAAGGGAAAGGGGAAAATTAGAAAGTCCCCACTCCAATGTACATGTTAATATGCTGGTTCATGGAATTCTTGTAACCCATCCCTTTCGTTTCAATATATCTGACTAGGAAGAACTTTTTGAGACCCATGAGTGGAAAAAATATTTTCAGTCTTAGGCAAAGAGATCTGAAGTGGGATGGATTTCTAAAATCTAATTCAGTATTTAGAATTTTCATTCAGAGTATAGTATGACCCAAGAACTGCCATCTTACTTGGATCAACAGGATCTAACGACTTTCGGTGGGATGAGGAACTTTTTGGACATATCCATACTGTCAGGGGTTGGAAGACTGTCTCCAGTAAGGCATGATAGCCCTCAAGAATTGTTTCAGGTTAGTCTTTCTATTTCTTTTATTTCCAACACAATGTCTCAAAGGTGCTTTTTCAAAAGGCAACTGGACTGTTCTTTCCTTGAGGAAGACCTTTTGCTTCTCATCCAAGAAGCTTCATTGGTTCCAAAATGTCTTTCTCAAGGACAAAACAGTCCAGCTGTCTTTTGAAAAAGAACCGTTGAGACAACGATGACCTAGATGACTGAGAATCTCCACAGACATTTTACTAAGGCAATCGTGATACTATTGCTTTCAGTTGACTGATCGCTTTTAAAAATAAGTCTCTCTCTTGAGTAAAATTGACACCTAATGGCTACAGGGACATGTTCACATTATTTTCTTGGAATTAATATAGAGGTGGTTTGCCATTGCATTCTACAGGGATTCTTTTTTACTTCCCAGTCTAAATCACAAGTCTCTGTTTTTACTATCATCTCCCATCCCAGTAATGTCCAGGTTTCAACCTGCTTGGCATTTTTAGACCGGCGATGGTTGACTAAATGCTAATCTTTGCTTTGATTTTTTTTTTAAAAAAATATTTTGCCAAAAAAATAACCATTTGAGAATAGGAATATGGTCCTGTTTGATATTTAAAAGGTGTTCCTGTGTTCAAAGGAATTTACCAGGTCCTTTTCTCTGCAACGGTTGTAGTTTTACAAATGTATTTTCTTTTGTTCTTTATCCCTCCCTCTGATTCTTTTCCCAGGTATCTGTATGTGATGAATATAAGTAAGACAGAAACCTGAGTAATGAAGGCTTTGATCCTAAGGAAATACTTTCATGGCTCACATTATTCACATGCCCAAAGCAAAACAATTTTTAGAGCTGCCTATTCATACATCATACATACATACCCATCTGGCTTTTCCCTTTTAGGAGAAGCAAGTTGCACCAGATGCAGAGAAGGAGGTAGAAATAGTAAGCTGTAGAGATTAAAAGTGTGAGATTAAAAACTGGGAAAGTAATGTGGCTAAAACCAGTTTATATTGATATTGTGCACTGTATCTCTCTATACCTTTTGGACCTTCCTTCCTTCCCCCTATCCCATGTCCCACTCCATATATTGTCTTCCATTCTTTCAACTTCTCTTCCTTCTGGAGGGTTTCACTCACTCTGTCCCACCACAACTTTCTCAGTTGACTCTTTCCTTCAGATTTATTTTCTCTTCCTTCATATATTTATTTTAAAATCAGCTCACCATCTGTTCTCCCTATGCGATCACCATCTCAACATACTTCTTTGTAACGGTCATTCTTCTTTGGGTTTAATCACATTCGTTCAGTCCTGTACATTCTTGAAGTTTTCTCTTCTTGTTTTAACTATGCACATTTCTTTAAGTTCTCCCTTGCCACTGCTCTCATATTTTTTATATTTCTTCTAGGCAAACCCAATTTTAACAAAGTAGGCAGAAGAATGTTCTTATGCACAACTTTTTTTGCTTCCTTTGGCAAACAGAATATATAGAAATAGCAACAGCCATAAACTTATATACCACTTCATAATGCTTACAGCCCTCTCTAAGCAGTTTATAGAGTCAGCATATCACCCCCAACAGTTTGCATCCTCATTTTACTAATCTCGGAAGCATGGAAGGCTTAAGCCAATCTGGGTCGAACTCCTGTGGGCAGAGTTAGCCTGCAATACTGCATTCTAACCACTGGGTCACCACAGAACATATGCAACCACTTATTCATCAAATAGATTTTAGGGTAAAATACATGAATACTGTATGCCCCATTGATGAAGCAATTCCATGCCCATCGGTTTACAAAAATCAACTATATTTTCAGATACGATACAGGATAATTGGATAACACAATGCAGGCTGCTTTTGGGTGAAGGATACGGAAAGCAAAATCTTTAGGGGTATGGATAGGATGGTTAGGAGGGGGACCAATCTGTTTGACCTGTATCTTGGATTGGAAATTGTTACTCTGCAAAGCTATGTACCAGATCTCATTTACTACATTTTTGTTGGCATTAAGTTTCTTCTAAGTGAGTGAATTTCTTTCTAGGGTAACTACTTTTCATAGAGCTGAAAGAAGACTGGTTATTTTGACATGGATTTTCCTTTGAAAGTAGTCTCCAATAGATACAAAAATGAAAGTATACAGTCAATGAATGAGAGTCCATCTCTTTGTCTCTACTGGTGCAAAGTCTTTACCTATCAAGATGTTTTCCTGTCTTTTTTGTTCTGAACACATGGGGGAAAAAGTTCTTTGTCTTCAGTGAATATCTGGAGTAACAAGTTCCTTAGAATTATTCTTAGGACAAGTATTGTTAGTCTGCTTACCCTCAAAACTAGTTTGTTTGACCTTGTCATACAAGAGCACCTTCCTATTTTGGCTTTGACAATGTTGCTTGTTCATTTGACCTTAGATCTCCTGGGTTTGCATTGTTGTCTCCTTTACTGCCTATCAGTTCTGTAGCCTTACATTTTCTCTGTGTTTGCCCCGAGAACATGCTATTTTTACACTTGATCTTGGACTGCCTGCCTGTCTTCTTCCCCTTACTGCTTTGCAAAACACCCCCTTTCCCTTTAAGCCTGCAGTCTGGCAGAGCGATATTATCTTTTTTCTCTCCAGAACTTTGGATAGAGTCACTTTGTAATCATTTAGCCATCTGCCAAGCACTCATCTATTTTAACTGGAAGGACAGAACACTTTTTTCTCACCTGTATTCAAAATAATAAGATGCCAGTGAGGCCAGCAAGGAATTAGTAGTTATTAGGTGGCAGAAGACTATACCTGTTTAATGTCCCAAAGATTCTTTTTCAAAAGACAACTGGACTTTCTTTTTCCTTCAAGACGTTTCACTTCTCATTCAAGAAGCTTCGTCAGTTCACACTGAATGGAGGATTTATTTCTTTCAGTCATCTGATCGTTAGCATTCTTTCTGAGAGTCATTGAGGCCTCTTGGAGGTTTATCTATGCCCTCAGGCTCACTTGAATAGTGCAAATGGTGTGGAACCTTCTTGGAACTGCTGGAATGAATCAGAGATATGACACCACCTAGTTTTTGTTTACAACCCAGTCCTTTCAGTGGTTCCAAGAAGGTTCTACACACATTTGCTCTCTGATTCAGGTTACCCTGAGGTATAGGTCAATTCCCAAATGGCCTCAATGACTGCCAGAAAGAGTACTAACGGCCAGATGGCTGCAAGGAATATAAATCTTTCCATACTTCACCATTCAGTCTGAATTGAAGAAGCTTCTTGGGCAAGAAGTGAAACGTCTTGAAGGAAAAACAAAATCCAGTTGCCTTTTGAAAAACCGTCTTTGGGATGGGACAGCCATAATGGGGATGTCCCATTATGCTTGTCCCAAATGGATGACTGAGCATCTCCATGGATAACCAGTTTAATGCAACAGGCTGATTTCATTTTACTCATGCTGGGTGAAGTAAAGGCTGGAGCCATGCAATGTCATTTTTCAAGAGAAGACCTTTGAAGAGATATGTCGTTCCACCACGATGGTCAAGAAGGTAAACAAGCAAAAAGGTGTTTTGCTTTTTGAAAGAAATAACTTAGAACTTGCGTCCAACACCTGGATGCAAAATAGAAAAGGCCAGCCTTGTGATGTGATGTGGAAATGCCTGTTACATCATTATTATTATTTTTTTCATTTCTATGGAGCATGAACACTTGTCTGGATGCCCGATGGCAAGAAAATGAATCTGAATCTGAAATTGCAAATGCTTTTTGAGCTCAAAAGGCCATTTTTATGAGCTTCTTCCAAAGACAGCATTTCAACTTGTCAGGAAGTTGGAAAAATTAGATTAAGTTCATATATTTGCAGTTCAGGGCACGATGATTGACTGCCTTTGGCTTCTTTTGATGCTTTTCCTTTTCTTTTGTGGTTTGAGGAATCTATTTTTCCTTATGAATTTTGCCGCACTTTCTTCCATCCTTCCATATTTCTACAGTCAGACTTCAGAAGCAAATAGCATGTTTTTAGCAATCACCAATGATGTTTACATTTTTAGACTTTCTAATGTGAAATTGGATCACCTTACCACCTGATAACATTTGTTTCCTTTGACTTATGCATAGCTTGGTAAATTAGTTCCTTTGTTTGGATTTATTCAGTTGTTC